TCTTATGGAATGTGGCAAAAGTCTCGCGATTAACACTCCGGTACATATTCGCATAAGTTGAAAGGCATGCAGACGGTGACTTTTGCGCATGTTTATTTGTATAGGTTTGCAGGTCTTTCAACTGATGTGTTCGCCTTTCAGGAGCTGCATATATATTTGAGAATGAGAAGTCGCATCTCTGCTAGTCTATCTAACAGTGAAAAAGTTTGTTGGCTAGCGAAGAGAACAAGAAGACAAATGCCCACGAGTAAAGAGATCCTATTAATTTATTTTTTCGATGAGTTGTTTTTATCCTAGCTTTTATCATCTGTGCAAGTAAACCTCGACTAAAGCAGAAACTTTCTATTGTATTTTTGGAATAATTTGAACTTTTTTCAATCATTATGATTCCTCTCAAAGCACTTACGTCAATGAATAAGACTAAAAAAGTTGCTTCTTCTTAGTAATATTGAAGTGTGCCAGAATTTGATGGTCTTATATTCCTATCAAGTAGTTCACACCACTCTGTAATTTTTTGTACTTATGTTGGACTTTCTTGATATTGACTAGCGATGGCGAAAACGGATGACATAACGCTATCGCACGGGGCTCGTCGGTTTCTCTTTCTCTCAAAATAAACAATCGATAGCCGCTTTCGCGTAATTTGCTTCCTTTTGCTCAGCTCCATTCATATTCAAACCGCTTCGCTAGATTTGACGCAAATTTATCAGAAAAGTGCACCTTTTCATACTTTCTTGCAATGGAAACACTCCGTGGTCATGCGGTCAACAACCAGCGCTTTTTTCACCGATATAATGTCATCATTTTTCGCTGCTGAACCAATATAAAGCTTGTTAATTTCACGTTCCTAGGCCATCCATTCAACTCTTTAGACATCAACGTTCTCGACCCTACATTCTCAAATATACGAGGCTCTGCGCATTTTCTACATAATAAACCTGCCGGTCTGGAATTCGTAATGAGTCCCAGTTTTGACGCATCGTCCCGTTAAAAATGCCAATGTCCTTGCTTTTATGATCACAGTGAACAATAAATTTCCACGAAATTTCTGCACAGTCTTAGTACCGTTCAAACAACTGTTTCAAACATTTTTATGGAATGTGAATGTGTTTGTCGACTGGTACAGATTTTCCATTGCTCGTGCATCTCTCGCAATCTGAATTATTAGCCCGTTGCATAGGTTTTGCAACGAAAATAATAAAGTTCGTTTCAAAAATGTTTTGAAAACATACTAAATTATATGATACACTAATTTCAACGAATAAAAAACCTTGCATTTTAACGTACGTAACAATTTACCTAGTGGAGTTCAATTAGAATAGGTTCAAAAGGTTGAATTGCAGAATTGAAAGTCATAATCGTTCAGAAAGACATCGGATGATCACGAATTTTGCTTAATGAAATATCAGGTCTGGGAAACAAAATCTAAAATTAGATTCAAAGAAAAACCATTTTATGACTGTCTTTCTCAATCAGTTCTATCGATTCTATTGCTAATAAAGAATTTTGATTCAAGCATGCATGAAAAACGGAAGCTTCCTCCTTCTATTATATAATAAGACGATTTCATTGAAGTTGTAGGAAATCACAAAAAAAGTTTTATTGTTAAATTTATGCATTACAGTTCTTCTGCCACTTCCAAGCATGTCCAGTTTCATTCTAAAAATTTCTTTTGTGAATAACCTTATCCAGTTTCATTCTAAAAATTTCTTTTGTGAGTAACCTTATCCTTTAAAATGCAATAAAGGTTTCGGATGGAGTAGGAAGGGAAGGGTTGGTGACCATTATGCACATACCAATACCTATCAATGCCATACCATGCCATACCATACCGATACCAACACCTATGCCAATGCGTGACCAACATATACCGATATGGTTATGTGACCAACATTAATCGGTTTGGGTTTTCAAATAATTGAAGCTAATTTATTTCTCAGCTGGTTTGTAAGATCTGTCGATTTTACGAGAAGGATACGCACCAAAGGAAAAATTTGCAGTCTACATACATAATAAACGTTCCATGAATTCTCAAAAACACGTGCACGACATAACAGATGTGCGTGCTGCTGTCTCTACAAATATCTCTGACATGAAAAAAGGCTAGGGATTAGTTGAATGAAAGAATTCGAGGCACTTCTGTTTCTGTCATCAAATTGCTATTATTTTCTATGTGACAAATATCATGTTAATGAAAGCAATGAGCTTCTTTTCTTTCTTCGCCCTCATCTATTCTCTTGCAAACCTTTTGATTTTTCTAGTGACAGCGGTAATTGTGGCTCAGCATGAATGGTCAACTGAACTCGATTCAGCATAATAACCAGACATGATGACTTCGGAATTCCAATCCTATAATTTGTTGTATTCCAAACATAGAATTCCACTGATCAAATGGGGATTCAAACAGTCGGGGGTTTGTGTACAAATGCAGATTCAAGAAAAGTGAGGGTCGGAAAAAATTTTTGGGGTAAGGCGGCAGCGAAAATGCCTCTCCACTGAAGCAGGGTGGCGTGAGTTGCACAATTCGGAATATTACTACCGTAAATAGTCGATCGTTTCGATGAAGAATCCTTGAAGATTTTTAAGAGTTTGGTTTTGTAGATTACATACAGAATTAGAATATATTTATGTTGAATATATGCGATATCTCTATATATATAAAGCAGGAAATCTGTGAGTTTGTGTGTTTGTGCACATTCGGGTGCAGGTTGTGCAGGATGTGCAGGGTGTGCAGGGTGGCAGGGAGTAAGTGAACATGCTGATTTGAATACATTATTGACAGGACCGGGCGGAGCCGGATTTGCCAGCTCGTATGTTTATGAAACTAAAAATCGGAACTGTTGATCACAATTTCGGCCATCCTGTAGCAAAAATAATTGTGAAGCTATCGAACGGATTGCATTCACATGTACCCTTTGATTCAACTGGCTTGGAGGCTAGAAGGCGAGGCTTTGTGACCTAATTAAGGCTAGATGACGATCAGAGAGCACGCTCGCGGGGCGCTGTCTGCGTCGCGGGCGCGAGCGACCTTAATTAGATCACAAAGCCCCGCCTTCCAGCCAAGCCAGTTACACCAAAGGTTAACACCCTATTTTCATGACATTTTAGACATACAAAAGTGCTTTGATAACGAACTGAGAACAAACACTCTTTGATAAAAAAAAAACAACTTTTTGGGTCCCTTAACTGCTTGCCTTGTAGAATTTCCAGAAAAATTGTGGCTAGTTGGAGAATTGCGTGATATTTGATAACATCGAACGCCGAGGAATTTTCAGAATTTCGGGCTCCGAAGCTCACTCACCATTCCACATTGATTTTAGAAATGAGTTCTCGTTTTGAAATGTTAACCTAGATTTTGCATACAGTCATGCGCATGTGTAGAAAGAATTGACATTTACATTTTATTTGCATCTTCACCAGCGGGAAAAATCATAAGAAAGAGAAGGATAAGCTGCATCAAATTATAAAATAGCCTAGTGATCAATATTCCGTGAAGCTCAAATAGACCAAATATGGAATTGCGCAATAAATTACTCCTAGTATTTCTAAAAAATCACTTGAAGAGGTACAAAAACGAGTTGCGTAGCAAAATATCTAGATACTCTATCGAATGTCACCAAATCTTAAGTCCTAGAATGTGGAAAAGTTCTGAAAGTCAGCTGCTTTGACTTGGCAGGAACAATGTAGGTAGATTTCGGCGAATATTCGATCCAACATTACGGTCATGTATTTTGAAACATAATCACTGCAATGTATATACCCGCATCATGTCATAGCCGGTGAGCATATTAAGTGAAAATGAAGAAAATAAACGACCTTATTCCCTTGGCCTCGCCTGCAGCAGCAGCCCGTGCTTTTTCTGGTTTGCATGCGGACTTGTATAACTAGATTTACTTCTGCTAATGAAAGGAGCAACGACCGATGGGTGTTAGTTTTTCTTCTCGGGGGTCAGTCCGTTGAAACTTTCAGTAATGTGCAACTGCAGAATGAGGGATATTTTCAAGTTTTGGCTATGGAGCGCGTTAAGCCTGTGTGTTTGTCTTCCTCAAAGTTTCCGCTTTTTTGTTTTTGCTTGTTAAGAAAGTGAGTGTCTCGGTTCATATAGTCGCACAGTTGTTCTTCTCTAGTTGATTTGAACAAATTGCGAAATTGGATGGGTTCCTGTTGTGCCTATCGACTTTTGCGGCAATGACGAAATGTAAAACCCTTACCATTAGATAGATCAGAACTTCATTTAATGGGCTTAAAGGTAGTCAACTCAACTGCACCATAATTTTTATAATTTCGTTTGATTGTGCAGGATTCCTCTTATGAAGAGATATAAAATATAATCGAAAGTTCAAGACGTTCCTCACTCTTTTTGCGACCAGCATATGCTTTATTCGCAAAGTTGCTCTCGGCTTATATAATCTCTTCCTGCATGTCTCTAGTAATTATTAAGTTTTGGTCATACAAATCTGCCAAGATAAGACTGCTTCTCGCAGTATCATCTTTTTAAACATCTATGAACTATACTGGTAAAACGGTAGAAAAACAGTCATTTAGCGCCCAATCTGACCATGTAATTTCATGAACTAAGGTGCAGATTCAGAGCATGGCCACACAACCACAACAAGTTTGGGAGACGTAGACGTCCTTGCCTAGGTGCATAGAACCTGTCCATCAGCTGATTGCCTCCTAGCTTTTCCTTCTATAACATGCCACTAAGAAAAAACGAAGTATCCGGTCAGAATTTGCTTATGTTTCATCTCATTCTCAGTTCTTCATCGCTAGCTCATCAGGATTTGTAGGAAATGTAAACATTCGTCGTTGCGCAGCTGCATTTGTTTTTCTGCTGGTCACGCAAGCTTTTCTTTTTCATCATTCCTCGGTCCTTATCTTGCGAGACCTTTTGAGAATGTTTTCGAATACAGCTGTCATCCTTCGTCTGTACCCTCATGAAACAAGGTCTTTGGTTCGCTTTTTATATAGATGATGGTAACGAATGTGAAACGATTTTCAGGGTACTGCCATGTCGCCAATTTTGCCGCAGAGCTCATTCACTGTACATACGGGAAACTTGAACAATTACTTGGAGGTAAGCATAATTACCAGCTAGTTGTTGTCCTGCTTTTTATGGCAGTTTCTAATGTTTTTATTTTTTGAGTAAATTTCTTATCCTGTTTTAATTTTTCTGGGCGAATATTTTTCTATCTACTTTAGCCTCCCGTTTTTTAATAGAATTTATCAAGATGTCCTGGATTCTTGTTACTTTGATTTTTGCTGATTAGAAATGTAAGACCTTGAAAATAGCTACAAGATTTGAAGAGCTGCGCATCTTATTCACTTGCGAATCAAACAAAAATGTGCTCAGTTTAAAAAATATTCTAGTGCAAGCAATGTCAAGGTGAGGAATCGATAAAATCTGAAGTCTTGATAGCGTTTGCTCCTTCTCATGCGAACAGATAAAACTTCAATTTTTGACGTATCTTCAGTGAAAAATCAATCGTTGTGAGGATAGCCATACCAAACTGTGCGTGGCAACTTAAGGGAACGGCCATAGGTTGCCGACAACGGTTGCCGAGGTTGTGGGGTTGCCGAGGTTGCCGGCGTTGCAGTCGTTGTAAGACCTCATGATAACTTCCATGTTTCGCGAGCTCTCTAAACTGTCTCTGACCCCGGCAACGCCGGCAACACCAACAACTTCGGCAGCGCCACCAACCTCGGCAACCATTGCCGGCAACCTGTGACCGTTCCCTAGGCCAACCTCTAAGAAAAACTAGTCTGTTTGTTTTGTTCCGTTTGATTCGAACAATTTAGCTAGTCACTCGCCGGCACAAAAATTCGTCTGCTGAGATATGTGCGGCCTTCAAGCTTCTCGCTGCAAAGAAGACGGTTTTTCGGAAGGCAGGAAACGTCTTTTCCCCCACTACGGAGAATTTACAGCATCCAGAGATTGATGTGAAAACATCGCTAAAGGTGAGATATCAGTGATCTCCAATGTTTTCAAACTTTTCCTGCTCAGGTTTGTCTAGCAAAATTCTGTGCAGACGACATACGGGAAGCAGTTCGTGTCACTTTGGAAACCTTACAACTAGGGACTCTTTCTCAACTTATCATTTCGTTCCCTTATGACGAGTCAGTGGTACGTCTTTGTCTTTTTTTACCTGTTACTTTGTCAATATGCTTTTCATACCCTTTTCCTTTTTTTAAACAACATTTTGTGAATATTGAATTTGCTACAGAGCGCTTTTATATCATCATTGAGATGTATAGTTTCAAATCATGCCGCAACAAGTTATTCTTTGTCTGGGGAACTTAATGAACCTAGTGACGACGTGTTTTAAGTTTTGCACATTCCCGTCTATGACTGGGAAGTAAAAGGGCCCAGTAAAAAAAATATTGAAGCTACTTTGCATGCTATCTGGTCAGCACTGAAAACATGGCTCTTACTGAGAAATGTAACAAAATGGCGCGCATAAGTTGGAATCAGTCTTCGGCTTTCCAGCATACTTAATGAATTTTCTAGAGGCCACAACCTTTTGAGTGATGCAGTATCCATAAATCTTCGAAGTCGATCAGGCACGAGCTAGAGGTCATCATAACATCCAAAATGCAAATGCAAATTCCGGTTCTCACCTTTGAGCGGCGTACCTTCAAATTGCAAAGCTTTGGGCCCTGGCCAGACTTCCCTCAAAAGCGACCAAGGCCCGTATGCACGTACATCCCCGCGGGGAGGGGAGGGGATCTGAGAGGGGAAGCGTCATATCTCGCTAGGCTATGTATCTTTCTTCTTCTTTCTCCGTCTTGCTTTTGAAGGTTCTCATACACTGATACTTGCGCATAACGGATGCCAGGTTACTGCCATACAACATTAGATATTCACTATTTTGTCTGATCCCCTGGGAATCCCCAGGGGATCACTTCACATTTTCAAAGTTATTTATCTTCCTGAAAACTCGATGAAAATGCTCCAAAATCGTACTGAGGATATACGACAGCACTGCTAAACATGTTTATGGTAGCGATGAGTGAAATTTCAAGATATCAAAATCTTCGATGAACCGCTGCTCGCGAGCCAGGGATTATCGAAAAAATCAAAATCTTCAGATCCCATTTCTTCTGTCGAAAACATGCCCAGCAGTATCGTAGTATATCTTCAGTTCAATTTTGCAGCGTTTTCATTGATTTTTCAGGAAGAAAAATGACTTTGAAAATGTGAGGTGATCCCTGGGGATCCCCAGGGGATCGGAAGAAATAGTGAATATTTAATCTTGTACAGCAGTAACCTGGCATCAATAATGCGCAGGTATAAGGGTATGAGAACCTTTGTAAGCAAGATAGTGAAGAAGGAAGAAAGATATCTGAAGCAGCGAGATATGGCGCTTCCCCTCTCAGATCCCTTCCCCTCCCCGCGGGGATGTACGTGCATACGGACCCAAAAGCGTCCATTTTCTAACCTTTCCTCACTCTCACTCATCTCTCCTCACACGAGAAAGTGAAGAGACCAGAGAAATTTGGGCACTTTTGGGCGCTTTTGTGCGAAGTCTGGCCAGGGCCTTAGTGGATTGTCTTCATCATCTTCAAAGTCCGGTACAGATCCCGGTAAAAATCTTGCTTAGGATGATGTTGTGAGTAGAGTAGGCGCCATCTGTCTAGTCACCTCACCTTGACTGCTCACAAAGGCACTGACTTCTTATTCGGTAATCCCAAGATAATCTCTTTCCACTTTTGAAGTGTTTTTTGCCGAAAACTTACCCTGGTCGGCTATAGTCGACTTAACATTCAATGAAATCATGATTCGCTCTTATGGAGCACGCGCGGCGGGAGGTGATTAGACAAAAGACGCCTACTACACATAAGTTCGCCTGTCTAGTGAGGTTGAAAACATAAACTTTTAGGTTAGAGGAACTACATTATTTTCCTTGGGTTAGTATAATACTTCAAAGCGCTTACATACATGATGGCATGTAGGACGATGGCTCGCAAGATGAGAAGTATTCTTGCCCATGATAAGTTTTTGAGATTGGCGAGAGTGACTTATCTACAAATCTGTACCTCTTACTGGAGCAAATCGTTTTCCTTTTATTGTGAAAGGCAAAAACCGAAAATGTCGAAAATGTAGGGCAGATGATAAAAAAATGCAGAATAATTAGAGAAATGCATGGATCTTTTTCAAATTAGTCGATTACCGCTACTATAATTGCACTGTCATCTATCCATGTCTTATCCAAAGGTTTATGTCAGCCATAACAGCGGACATCTCTCTGGGTCACACCACTCACTGAGAGTAAAACATCGAGAAGTTATAACAATTATATTTGCTCGTTTTCTGTTAAGATGTATTTTTTGATAAAGAATTATTGAAGGACTTAACAGACGATATCTGGCTCCAGAAAGTGAAGGACATATGGGAGGCAGCAGAGGACTTAGTGGAAAAGGATATTGTTCATACTATAGGTTAGTTTTCAAGCCAAGTGCTTGCCGTGCAGAATAAGCTTATTGCATCTTGAATTATCACTGCAATTCTTCAGCTTTTAAGGAGTGTCTGATCTCGACGTTGATAGGCTGCGATTGTTGTATGATGCTGCGAAGGAACATCCACCAATGATCGATCACTATAGTATTGATGGATGTTGTGCGGTAAATTTTTTTATGATCTTTGAATATTTGAGAGATTTTGTGCTGTTCAGGTGCCAGCTGAGTTGGTGGAATATGCTAAAAGTCATGATATCCAACTCCTCACTCATAATGATCCAAGAAGTCTGTGCCTGAGTGATGAGGTAGCATACCAGTTTAAATAAGAATTTAATGCTGTATCAACTCAGTTTTTTAGATGTTGGAAGCTACAGATCAAATAACAGGCTCGGGAAAAAATCTATCCACTATGTGGGCTGCAAGGTATAGCCTTCGTGCACTCTTGTTTTTCCTTACTTGAATTGCAAATCAGGTATACGATATGGATCCGAAGTCGCTCGGTGATGGCAGCAAAAGGATATCTCGTTCACTACAATAGAAACTAGCTATATTTGATGTGCAATGCTGTTGAAGCTTATCATATTTTCACAAGAGTTGTAGTAATCTCCACATATCCGTACGTACCATGACGCGTGCGCCCCAAAAAATCTCATGCGAGTTCAGAAAAACATCAAAGTTATATTTATTGCTTGTTCATTCTCTAATAAACTCCGGTGTATTTATTTTGTGAGATGAATGTTGAAAGAATAAAAAGTAGAATTTTACATGATTTTACGGAAATACATAGAAAATACAAATACATAGATCTTTGTGAAAACATCGATTAAGTATACGGCTTCTAAGCGGAAGAGATGGTTATAAAGATGTTGTCAATATTTCTGAATGTTTTCTATTTTCCATTTTACACCTTTCAATGGCGTAGGTAGTTGACGTCAAGATTGTCTCACCCTTCTGAGGCGAGCGATCCACACTGGCAAGAGTTAGTGTGGAATAGAGCAAGCCTTGCTTCCATGTCACATCACAAAGAAAATTCAAGGGCTGTTTTTACCCGGCGATTGAAAGCACGTTAATCTGAGAAGCGTATCTGTGAGGTTTAAAAAAAGTGTCAAAATGTAGCAATCAAGTTTTTGAGAACATTAAAAAAAACGGGTGCATGTCGCGAAAGGCGCGCGTTTTGGCAGTTGACATTGATAGGCTAGGTTTGTACTCTGAAAGAAGAAAATTTTTATGCTTTGAATGTTCGTAAATTTGTTAGAAGTTGTAGGGGAAGGTCATGTAGCTGAACTTCAGAAGAAAGACGGAAGATTTGAAATACTTTCCTGGTTCTCCTATTTGGTTACAATCGATCGATAAGCGCCTTCCGACAGTGTCACAGAACTAGTGACTCGAACAAATTTGGTGCTGGAGTTTTCAACTTTCTCGGGTTTTTTGTTTCCTTGAGCTTCTTCTTCTTCTCGCACGGCAATACTTCAAGTGTTTGTACTATCTTAATCCTACACCTATGAACAGAAGCTATTGGTTTGTTTTGCATTATAGATTTGAAGTGAAGCTAGTCTCAATATGCAATTCAGGTCCGCAAGAGCTTCAAAGGCAAAAGAGCTATGAATACTAGAATAGGAGGTATGTTTCCGTTGGCTTTTCTCAGAATCGTAATACTGTTTTGTTTCAAGGACAATATCTGAGATTGTACAACGCAAACTGTATGGTTTTTCTGATGCATGTTGGCAACTCTTGACGGAGAACTCATACGCAAAATTAGACTGAAAAACGAGAATTACAGGAAACTCACTACGTTGGAACGTTAGGCTTATGGAACACCTTTTGTTTCGGAACACCTTGTATATTCCTTTCCCTCAGACACTCGCACCGGCCGGCGTCCGTTCGACGGCCGGCTGGTGGGACCACAGGTGATTTCACTCAGCCGCGTAGTCTACGACCACCGGCCGGTATTCGGACGGCCGCCGGCCGGAAAGGTACGGCCGCGATACGAAATGGCCGTGTGACGCGGTTTCTCTTTTTCCGTATTTATTTCGCTCTGCCGCCTATCCTCAACACAAGCAAATACAAATCCGTATGAATATATTTATTGTAACTGCATCATATAGGGAAACATACATAAATGAGATTGAATAATAGCGTAAAGTCTCATACAACATGCAACTAGCGCTACAAATTTGGACGCATCTTTTTGTACACGGAAGACGAGGTTTTCTTCCATAGTACCATCCATTCGCGACAAGGGCTCGCATATCGTCCTTCTGCTGATTCTGGACTGAAAAAAAGTTCACTTTTGTATCATGTAAATGCCACATAGCAGACGATCTGCAAATGAGATAAGCTACCCTCGATATCAACCCATATGTCTTCCCTCAACATGACGTGAATTACATGGATTTACATGGATTGGTGAGGCGCCACCTCGCTTCAAGCTTGCGCCACGCGTTGCGTGCGCCTCTTTGGCATGGCGTGGCAAGAAGAACAACATTATTAAGCCTGGTCCATCTTATTTAGTGCACCAGGTCACGCCAAACGATGCGCCCGCAATGTGGCGCAAGCCGAAGCGAGGCGGCGCCTCACCAATCCACATAATCCACGTCATTGAAGGAAGACATATGGGTTAATATCGAGGGTACTTACAAATGATCCCATTAACACCAAAACTTACCGACGGTGTTATATATGACTGGGCAGACTAAATCAAAAAGCTCAAGAATTGTAGCAGACAAGTAATGAACGTTGTTTTCCCTGAAACACACAAGGACTAGTTCCAAATTTTTGATAAGAACGCACCTGTCTTGTGGAGTCTATAATATACTAGGAGTTAGGCGTAAGGTCAGTAGTCTTGCAGCAGAACACAAACTAGATAGATTCCAATTCCCATAGAAATGTGTGACATGTAGTACACACGTAATCCATGAATGCATAGTGCTGAGATACATAAAGAGTTAGTCGAAAGGTCATATGCTCCATCATGGGTAAGGATGATAAACAGCGAGTACAAGCAATGGTGCGCTGGTTGCATAGCGCAAGATCTCAATACCATGCATATCGCATTCGTCTCCTGAAAAAGATGGTTATGAAACGTGCCCATTCGTTCTTTTTTGTTTAGTCAAGAAGCTGAGCGAAATTCAAGCCTTGTACCCCTCAGTCAGTATGTTCCAGCTCTGCGTGTCACTTCTTTATCGCCATACAAGACAAGCAACAAATCTGAAAAAGGCGCTACAGATGTCATTGGGATTTTCTTTTGATTGTGAAAAAGAGGGCGGTATTAGCAAAGACAGAGTAAGATCACTACGGAATTCTAGGTATTTTTGAGTGACAAGCATACAAAACCTTCTTCTAACGATAAATTACGTAAACAAGACATGAATGAAGTAGAAAAATGGCGCTTAATCATAAACGAGGAGAAGTAGAGCGTTTGCTTACGCGGCTCAATCATGCAACTTTCAAATCCCGTTCACTTCCCGCGACATGGCAATGTTACCGGCTGGCCCTCCGTTCGAGCGGCCACCAGCCGGTAGATTTCTTTGGAGCGGTCGCCGGCCGGTATTTAGCTCCGCCCAGATTTAAAGAGCGGCCGCCGGCCGGAAGGCCGTCGTCGGACGGTCGCCGGCCGGTGCGAGTGTCTGAGCCTACACGGAAATACAGAGATACGTGCAGACCATGAGCAAGCCGGAGCCCTGTACAGAAGTGAAGACAGTATAGATCGTTTGTAAAATCGTAGCGACGGATTTGACTGCGGTCTTTGCGCCCACAGGAGCAAAAACTCATACAAAACGGATATCACTTCAACTCTCAGCTCAGTCTCTTCCAATGTCTAAATATTGTCATACGTAAGCAGAAAAACCATTTGTGTAGAAGAAAATAAAAAATGCGGTTGTTGTGAGGTGCGTGCGTGTCGCGCGCGATCGAGCCATCGTCACGGTTTTTCGAATGCCCTATACAGGCTCAGGCATCGGTCATACGCTGCGTATAGTCGGCGTTGTTAGGAATAGTTTTTGGAAGCAAACTTTGATGGCAGCAACTAGCGGTTGCAGACAAAAGTGCAATACAGGTAGCCGGATCTCCGCCAAGTATGTTGCACCAATTGTTACCGGCCCTTAGAAAAGAAGCTAGTGGGATCCTTCGCCGAAACTTCAACTGCAAGGGGGCGTAGAGGGGGTGGGAGGGGGTGGGGAAGAGAGAGAAGGGAGTAGACGTTTTTGATTAGCATATGAAAAAGGCATGGTGATCCGAAAAATTTGTTCAGGAGGGGGGGGGGGGGTGGGGAGGGGACAGGAAGTTCCTCCGAAAGATTGTGCTTGGCTCTAGCCATTCCTTTCAAAATATTTTTTGGAAAATACTTTCGAAAGTTAACGGGCGTATAAACCTCAGTTTTTTGGAGTGTGGCGTCAGCTAAGTTGCAAATTTTTTTTCGTAACGCTATTCAAGTTATCGCAAATGTCCGAAAAGTATTCTAATTACTTATATTTACAATGCCATGCACTCCGTAACTATGGCGAGCATCCGAAAACTGTGCGATCTGGATGTTATAAAAACCTTCAACAGTAGCTACGACTCCAAAGATTAGGCTTCTTGATGACTTCGAGAATACTAACCCGAGATCCTTTTCAGGGCTTCAAATGTGTACAATTATGACGAGCGCATAAATATCCTAAAATGTCTATCACTTTTTGGACGTGGAAATAAAAATATATACCAATTTGAGCATCGAACGTTAACGGAAAGCCGCCTTTGTTTTTTGCCAAGCGCTCCTAGATGCTGAGGAGCGTCTTGGAGCGAAAAGAGATCAAGTAAAATCAATGGTTATGGCCTTTCCAACGCAAATAAAGAAGTGCTGAACGGGTACAATAGAAAAAAGGTTTTCCATGCATAAAGTGCTCCGATATCCAACGCTGAGCCATTTGCGCAATTTTGGAGGGTGTACTTCATTTTAGCCAAAAACACTCATAACTCAGCGTCTAGAGGCGCTTGGCAGATAGTAAAGACATTGGAATCGGCGTTTGATGCTCTTCAGATTGGTATATAACGAATCCTCCCCTTGTCAGTTCTCTCACAGCATGAAGGGAGCAGATTGATCCAAGAGTTGGTTGCTGAAAATCACAGTTTCAAGTGCTAAAATTGCGAAAAATCACTTAATTAGCAAGGGTTTTGATCCCTCTCTTAAAAGTGTAGCCATCGCGACTTTATTAGTTCTAACAAGTAGGTAATGTATTATCAAATAGTGAAAGAACAGGGCGACCTAAATATGCATCGTCAAAACCACAAGTTCGAATGTTGATATTGCGTGGGTTTCTTCCAAAATTTATACTCTCACCTTATGTGTGGAAATGGCAGCCAATTCGACGCTAGTGATTTGAAAGCTGTAAATCTTGAGTGTGAAGGTGTATGATGTTGTACGTCAACGTTGTAGGTCTTAAGCAGTGAGTTTTGCCCTGAAGAACTGATTTAGACAAGCCCAAGGGACTCTGAGCCGTGCTCATCCTTACCTAAAAGATTTTGTTTGTGGGAGAGCGACCATTTGCGAGTACAGTGGGCAGCTGAGATGCCTGCTCGAAAAAATTAGTCCGTCTTGTTCTCATAAAATTACCGTACATAAAAGTCTGGTGCATTGACAACGAAGACTAACTTATGGTTCTCCAAATCACATCTCATTGCACAAACTGTGCTGAAGGACAAATCTTTAGATGACAAAACAAAAACGGCCGCGCCTCTCATAGTCTATTTCATATTGCTTGTCCGGAAAGTAGTGTTGCATAACTACCGCCAGAGTGATGACGAAGAATAGTGAGTGAGGTATCATTTGATAGCTCTACAAGTGGAGTACAGAACACCACGGAAATTTCGTTCCAACTGAAATTTGAATCCAAAACATAAAAAAAATTACAGACACTTGGAACATCGTATCTCTGTCCATAAATATTAGGTTGTCCGGAAAATAATGTCGCATAGCATCCTACCGCGATAGAGTGACCACAAAAATTATTGAATAGGGCATTATTTGATAAAGCGAAGCGAGCTCTACAAGCTATTTCACAAATCTCCGCGAAAGTCTTGCTCCACCTGAAGTTTGACTCAAAAATATAAAAAATTTTAGATACTCGAAAAATCGTATATCCGTCCATAGACGTTTTAGTGACCTCCAATTGACACAGGCATGTACTTTCCACATCAAAGATTCACCCGTATACTTTGTGGTATTTTTCCATGGCTCAGGACCAACAAAAATAGGACAAAAGCGCGAGCATGGCGTTTTTTTTTTCGGGTTTTTCTGCAAAAAATTTGTCTTTTCTCGAAAACTTGAGCTTGTGTAAAGCTGAAAATTTATGGTTATACTCCCAAAGATCCATACTACAGAATCGTCCATTTGAGAGGAGCTCGGGATTGCTTTGGCAAAAATATGCAAAATTTTGTTTTCTCAATTTCCAGCCATGAAAAAATCGCGAAAATGTGCATACGAGTGTCTCGTATAGTGAGTCCATGCTTGAGCAAGATAGCCCCAGCACTTTCCGAACGAAGATACGATTTTTTTTGTCTTTTTAGATCTTTTGTGCCTTATGAAATTTGGCTCCAAACTTCACGCAAATCAAACGTGGCGCGAGGGCTTGAACTTCATTTTGTAGGGCTTGTTTTGATTTATCGGTTGCTACCCCATTTACTTATTTTCGTGCTCACCCTGCCGCGATATTGCATGATGAAACACGATGTGACATTATTTTTCGGACAACCTAATATAACAAGAATCTCAATTGGCACAGGCATGTACTCTTTACAATGAACCTTCTGTACAGTTTGTGAGATTTTCCCATGGTTAGAACTCAAGAAATAAAAATAAGTCAAAAGTACAAATATGTAAAGATAAGTCATTCGTAACTTAATATGTGTAGTGCACACCAAGCACGCTAACTGACGAACAACAAAACTAGAACCTGCTCATTTCCAGTAATTTCTGCTTGTTTCCTTGTCTCTTTTGTTTTTCTTGATTACATGTTAGTCGATAGAACACATTTGTACACTTTGTTAGGCTAAAAAATGTTTCACTGGAAAGTTACCAGTAAGGGTGCCGTCGCACATAGGGCTTAGTGTGCAGCCTCACATATTAAGTTACAAATGACTCGAGGTTAGAGCTTTTCGGTTTTTGGCGAGAAGTTGTATTTTTCTCAAAGAATAATTTTTGTAAAAAGATGAAGTTTCATGCTGCTTTTTTGCTTCCAAATGCTTCCAAATCTAAACCTATTGGAAAGCTCAGGACTGTTTTGGCAAATTATGCCAAATTTCAATCTCAATTTGCCAATTTTCTCAATTTCTAGCCATGAGAAAAACAAGAAACTTTACGAGTGTCTGATGTGGACAGTGCATGCGTGAGCATTTGCGAATTCCTAGTGTTTTTCTTGAAGTGGATCCGCTTTTTCAAAGTTATTAAGCCTTTAGTTCCTTTTGGAAAATTTGACGCAGCAAACCTGGCGCAAATATTGAAGCTCCATTTTGTAGAGCTTGCTTCGGTTTACAGGTTCGTACCCAGGGGTCCGGCACAGATAGTCTGGGGTCAAAGTGGACTTCGTTTCTGAGGTTAGAAGCAACAGAGATATCGTTTTTATACGGTTCTGGGCGGAGCGCAGAGAAAAAATGACAAACATGTCAGGTCTTACGGTTTGAACATGTTGTTTCGCGAGCGCGCGAAATTCAAATGCAAGACTCAAACAAACAAATGGCTTGTTTACAGCGCACAAACAATCACATGGTTCCGAATTTGGGCTATGAGTATACAATATTACTCCAAACTATGCTATGTAAAAAGTTCCCAAAACTTATGTGTCCTAATATCCGTTCTCGAATTTGTTGTTTTTTAGACCAACTACCAAACCAACTGGGTTGGTTCGGAGCATAGATATCGGAGAGTTCATATAAGTTTTAAGCCTTTCTGATTTGGACGACTAGAACGCTCAAAAGTGTCATATAGTAAAGAGAGGGAATCAAACGAGCAAACCACCGAAAACCTCTTCTCTTTTTTTGAGCAAAAAATAGGTGTAAACCCACGCGTTGATAGATATCGCGCCCCAATCACATGCGCTGTCCTTTACTATGTGGCGAAAATTGCATCGCCAGATTGTTGAGACCACAGTTTTGGTTGGCTTAGGAGGTTTTCGACATTCTGAACACTAAAATGGTACCCTACTCAAGACATAGCCTTTAATCAACTCAGAATTTTTTTTTTTGCTTTTTGGGTATATTAGATACCTCAAGATGCGCCGTTTTCGCATTTTCATAATAACAATAATAATAATAATAGATGATGTTAACCTATAACACTATTCAAAAACCCCGTTTCGTTCCTCTCCTGAGACGGAGTATTGTGTTGTTTTTGCCACCCCGGAATTCTTCAGTAAGGAAGGATGGCGAAAGTTAAAAAAAATTGACTCTTTCTATGTAGAATTGTTGTTATAATTTATAGTTCAAATGTTTGTTTTCCAATATTTCATTTTTGATAATTTTTGCTGTCGTTTATAGGGTTAATCCTGAGTGTTTTGTAAAAGAGATAATTTTTGTTAATTTTTGAACTCAATGAACTTGATTGTTATGTTGGTTCAATAAAGGTTACTCAACTGATTTTTCAACGGACTTCGTAAATTTTCGCGAAGTCATGTGGTATGTCGTTCCAGAAGTGCTCCAAACAAACGCGTGCCGGCCTGTTTGTACCCCATTTATGTACCGCGATAATGCATGATGGAACATGATGCAACATTATTTTGCGGACAACCTAATACAAATTGGTTATTTTTCTGCTGAGAGGTGGAAGCAACAGCAAACGAGTCATAGTATAGCGAATGAAACAAGGAAACAAATTTACTTGAAAAAGCAAACTAAAATTCCTATCGTATCATAGTACTTAATGTTTGGTTCTCTGCTTCCTTCGCTGGTTCTTATTTCTTCGTCTTGTACGCCTTCGCCTTCATAATAATAAGCTTTTGAGTTTTCTTCGTCTTTTCGACCGCATCCGAGCAATTTCGATTGGTTTATTTTCTGAAGAAAAGTCAATTCAAATTTCTATCTCACAGTTGGAGTCCAAGTGTATTAATTTTAGTCCAAACAATTGATGCAATTACAAAATTCTTATTGCTGCAGCAAAGTTAGAGACTATTATTTAAATTTTTTTCTTAAGTTCACCACTAACTATACACATTCCGTTCTTTTGAATTGTGAGTGCAACTGAGACAGACTGAAACTCGAATTGAGCTTTTCTCAAAATGTTGTTCTGAGGAGCGAAATAATAAATTCGAGCGACGTTTGTAGTTTTGCTTGACTGAAAGAGTGCAAATTTTCATTAAATCGCTTAGAAGGTAACGAAAGCATTTTAGAATTGGCATTTCAGCGCACATCTAGTGAAATGTGTCTCATTATAAAATGATGAGGCAAAAATGGATACCTAGTGGTCGGTTACGGCCCAGGTATCCTTCTCTTGTGCGTTTGAAAGTGTTTAATTGAGAGAGTGCTTGAACAAATGAGACAGCCGCAGAAATTTTTGAACAACGATACGATTATTCAGATTTTTTGAGCGTCTGGCACTTTTCAAACTTTGGCTTCAAACTTTATGTGGGTCAAACTTCATGCATATGCAGTGGGGTACTGAGGAGAGGGCGTGCCCCCTTTTCCCCTCCCCCAAGAATGGGTCATGAAATTTCTAAAAGTTACTTACATGAGTTATAAAAATGTGCAGATGACTCGTTAATCATAGTGAATAATTACAATAGTTAATTTTTTACAAATTTAATTTAGCCTTTAAAAAAACATTTTCGGGGGCGTGGCGTCAGCCAACTCTCCTTTTTCTGAAATTTTGGGGTGGGCCTACGAAAATTGTAGAAAGCATACCAAAAAATTTTTCTGAGTGCGTGGCTAACGCCAAGCCCTTTCATCCGAAACAATTTTTTGTTGCCCCCCCCCCTCCCCCAGACAGAAATCCTGGATACGCCACTGACATGTTTGGGAGTTGTCCTTGTAGAGGCTGATTTCCTTTGGCGAGTAATAACCCGACAGTTACTTAGAATGTAAAGAGACTATGTCGCAAAGGTAAGAAGTCAAGGTTGAAAAAACCACGAGACAACCTAAGAGTCTGCAGCCATTAAACCAAGATCACTCGAAAAATCAATATGCGAATTATTGACAGCAAAGATTCATCGACTGAAAAGACTATACTTCTTTGAACCCACGTTTTTCACTATAATCGAAAGTGATGAATGTGGGCAAACAAGAATATCAATGCCTTACCAGCCGAGAATCTTCATCGGCGAACCACCATTGTGCAGCCTCTGGGAAGTGCTCGCGAGGGTCCCAGCGCTCACTAAATGGATAGTTCCTAACTAATGTTGTGTTGATTCGAAAAAAAAAACTTTTTCAACGTACTAATACACAAGATCTAATATACGACTGTTTTCTTTCTTGTATCTACCATGACGGAGTGCTTCCTTGAGATTTTCATTACTCATTAGCAGATAATCGGTGGCATTATCTTGCAGTTCACGTCTATACTAAAATACAATTTTTTACAAGGTATTCATATTTCATAATTTATTGAAGTGATACCAATTTGGTTGAAACTATTACATTACGAGACGGGGTCATGCTGTCTTGCCGTAAATGGTATAAATGCAGCCGATCTCTCAGTTTAATCGTTTATACGGAACTGGGAAATAAGCAACTAATCACACGTCATGGTTGCTTCGTTCTTAAGGGAAATATACAAACTTACCTCGAATCGAAAATAAATGTACAGGGTGTCCCAAAAAAATGTGCACACTGTTTGATTGTAAATAACTCTCTTGTAGTGAAGTGTTTCGAGAAGCTTTAGGTACCATTTTGTAGAGCGAGGTTCAACTTAGACTTACAGTGTAGAGCGAATCGCCGGTCTTTCATTCTTACTGTAGGAGTACGGTAGAAACTTCAAACATATGGTGTCACTGTGAAAAAAGGGGCCGTTTCAAAAATTTTCAATAAAATGTGGAAATTTGTGTAATAGGGTTTTTATGGATCCGGAGTTTAATACCCAACTCTTCACAAGGTTGAGAAGCTTTCTAAACGGTGTAACACTTTTTAGGTACACTTAAAAAACGTCTGCTGCTGCTTACCTCGCATAATTTTTTAATGAAGCATTATGAAGAGTTGCGAACTTCACAATTAGAATCAGCAACTCTATTTAGCCCAGCGTGAGAGTTTTCAGATTGTTTTGGTTTCTTTTTGGAACAAAATATGGCCTTTCATGGCTCAAAACCCTCTTCAAAGTTTCTACCGTAATCTTACAGTAAGAATGAGAGATCGGCGATCCGCTCTACACTGTAAATCTAAGTTGAACCTCGCTCTACAGAATGATACCTAAAGCTTCTCGAAACACTTCACTACAAAAGAGTTACTTACAATCAAACAGTGTGCACATCTTTTTGGGACACCCTGTGTATCACTGCGTATATCGAACGCTTATCATAGATCTGCTTTCGGTTCTGGCGAAACAATTCTGCGAGTGAATTTATGTGCAATTGAAAGCCCAATATCAAGCCACAAGTGGCAAAAAAAATTGTGAAAAGCTGGGCAAATGCATTTGAGAGTGAGTGATTATTTTTTACAGCAAGTTTACAAACCACAAGGAAGGAACACAATAGAAATTTACATAGGGCGCAGCTTTCCGCTAATTTTATGTCACATATTCGACAGATATGGACCTTTGAATACCCATAAACTTCTTTCGGAGGGTTGTTCCGCAGGAAAAAAGCAGATTTGAAATTGGGTTTAAAGACAAGTCTCTAGTGTTACAATCTCTTTGCAATTTGCCGAGAAATTCGTATCCTTTCTTTGTTAGATGTGAAAGTCACACCAGCCTGGAGCGCTATGCATCAATCGCCCGTCCGGACGGGCGATTGATGCATAGCACCCCTGATTTCACCTTTCATAGATCCATCGATGGCAGTATCGACAAAAACTTAATTAGTAGGTTTAGAAGGAACACAATAGAAATTTACATAGGGCGCAGCTTTCCGCTAATTTTATGTCACATATTCGACAGATATGGACCTTTGAATACCCATAAACTTCTTTCGGAGGGTTGTTCCGCAGGAAAAAAGCAGATTTGAAATTGGGTTTAAAGACAAGTCTCTAGTGTTACAATCTCTTTGCAATTTGCCGAGAAATTCGTATCCTTTCTTTGTTAGATGTGAAAGTCACACCAGCCTGGAGCGCTATGCATCAATCGCCCGTAAGTTACCCGGACGGGCGATTGATGCATAGCACCCCTGATTTCACCTTTCATAGATCCATCGATGGCAGTATCGACAAAAACTTAATTAGTAGGTTTTCCGCTTATCTGCAAAAACAATGAGCATAGGCTTATTTTCACGAAGCCAGCCTTTTGAATGTGGACGAGTGAACAGTTTCAGGGCGCAAAGTCGCTTTGTGTCTCTGCGAGCTCAATAGTAAGGACGCACTCTATCAAAGAGCGGGCAACTTTTCAATCTTTGTTTTGTTCACATCATAACCTCGCAGTTGTGTGCTGGCATGCCACCTTCACATAGCACTAAAAAATTCATAAGCCTTGACCTTGCCCAATTAGTGCCTTTAGGGATTGAAACTAGCACCTTAACTTATAAGGCGCAGATCTTCTCGATAAAGTACTTTCAAACACATTTCAACATGGTAATGATTTTAGGCGTAAGAAATCAATAGAAGAGCATTCTAAAAGATTTTTTGCGGAAGCTGGTATAACAGCTAGGTAAGCTTAGAAAAAAACAGGTGTAGACCGAAAGGCAAATTTGGCAAAGGGTGAATGCGACCAAGTATGAGGATCATTGGTGGTTCGATATTATGTAATCAAACAATGCCTTGCTAGGTCTAAAAAATTTGCTTCCTCGTTGTTACTAGTTACTTCGAGGTTTCACTGAAAGATGATGTGCAGGTGGTTACCTCATGTGTTATAAACTACGTTATGTATAGGTTTCAAGCAAACTACAGCCATTTCTAGTTATATGTAGTCTCTCTGAACGACCTTCCATAAATTATCTATGCTTGCAATGTACGCAGTGGGTGATTTGATAATTTACATGCAAACCACAGACAAACCTCAAAGTCTTTCTTCCAGAGTTCCTGCAGCTTGCGGATTAGTATGCATTGTTCTTCAGGGTGAAGTTGGACTGGGTCACTGCAGAACACACTTGCCAAGAACTGCAATTGCTTTTTGAAGATGCAAGATTATAGATCCGCATACTTTAGCAAATGTCCGTAACTTACCAAAGAAAATAGAGCAAAATGCTTGAATGCCATCCTTTGTATAAAACGTCATGAGTGCTTCCTTTTATAGCAGACTTCTCTGTCGTATCGTACAATGTGGGTTCGAGAGTGCATCCAACCTTCTGCAAAATAAAACATAAAAATAGCTTCGTCAATCAGATCGCTATTAATGTTTGCAAGAGATGATTACAATTGTACCTATCTTTTTATCGGCTCCCATATTTATGTGGAGGTGGATTGCGGATTTCCGTGATTTTAAGGACAAAAGAGGAGCTTAAAGGCAGCTTGCAGGCAGAACGACTTTTATTTTTCTGCCTTATCTAGGCCCTTACATGGCGCTGATTTCCAAATGTAGCACTCAAAATGCGTGAATTCTGTAACCCATTGACGGCGACGCCTAATTTTGCGTGGCGGCGCTATGGGACGACGCGATTTTGCACTGCACTTCCGGCGCGGCGAGTTTTGGATCATTCACAAAATGTAGAGTTGTTTTGTAAATAACAACAGTCATCTTCTTGGACGACAGAGTCTACAGATTCCAACAGTGCAAAAAATTGGAAAAAATACTGAGCTGTGGAATAAATATCAGACCTGGAAGGAATATGATTTTGCAAGGGGTGTGAACCATCGTTGTTCCTCATCGTCCCTGGCGGCAAAAAGTGCGTAGGCCACCGGTGGTTCACATCGTCGTCAAAAAAAGTTTAAAAAAATTAAAAATGCCATTTTTGAAACAATTCTTTAAAAACCGTGGACGAGTGCTCCTAATGCTATCCTTGTCGAAAGCAAGCATTAAAGGTAGACACTATCTGTTAGATTGATTTGCCATGTGGAAAAACGTCAGGGGCTGAAAGAGTTCGTTCAAGGGGCGGGAGGTGCAAGGGAATGGGCGTAGCCCTCTAGGCACGGCCCTTTTCTGCTTCGATTTTCTCCTTTTGCAGGGGTGTTCGAAAGTCGGATTTGCGCGATGGTTCTAGATCGAGGCCGTGGTACTCTGTTATAATAGTACCCGAAAACGTCCAAATCTGTCCGATCCTCGCCTTTAACGAGAGAGTGCGAAATAACTGCTACAACGCGGGGGTTTCACAAGTTTATCCTGAAAGTTAGAAAAGTCCGCAATCCCGCCTTTAGGAGGACGTGCGTTATACTACAAAGACCTCTCCGCCAAAGCTCGCCGCCATAGTAGGCACGCGCGCCGAGCTGGCTTACTGTATTCCGCACCCAATTTGCACCGGTGAGCCTGAGCCATGAGGCAATCGCGCGAACGCAGCGCCGTCAGCTCTGTCGCGCGGCGTCGCGCGCGATGTCGCGAAATTTACAAAAATTTACATGAAAATACTCAGAAAAATTCTTCTTTCAGATTTTAACGTGAGATATCGTCTGTCGCACCGCATAAGGTGAAAATTTCAAAAAAACTTGTTAATCTCCTGTTTCTTAAATTAATTTATGTTCGTTTATATTTCCAAATGAAAACAAAAGACTCGTTTAAAAACTCAGTGTTTCTTCAGTTTTCTTTTTTGTTTCATGTTTGTTTTTGCCATGGTATAGCTACTTAATTGTCACTGTAAGCTGTGACCTGTGGCCTAGATTGCAAGTTGAGGCTAGTAACACCGCGATGATGACCTGCGGAGTTAACTTATTAGGACAAAAGAAGGTAGCTGATGCCAGATTTTCATTCCTTTGACTTTATTTGAAAATGAACATGAATCAATAAGGAAACAGGAGATTAACAAGTTTTTTCAAAGATTTTTGCCTTATGCGGTGCGACGGACGATATTGCACGTTAAAATCTGAAAGAAGAATTTTTTCTGAGTGTTTTCATGTGACTTTTTGTAAAATTCGCGACCGCGGCGCGACGTCGCAACGCGACAAAGCTGACGAGGCTGCGTTCGCGCGATTGCCTCGTGGCTCAGGCTCACCGGTGCAAAATGGGTGCGGAATGCAGTAAGCCAGCCTGGCGCGCGTGCCGACTATGGCGGCGAGCTTTGGCGGCGAGGTCTTTGTAGTATAACGCCACGCCGCCCGCCTTTATACGTGAGAGCCGATGATATTAATATTTTGATAACGACTCTACTTTTTCTACAATTTTTCTGTCTCAACTATGGTACATTCCACTTCTCACATTTATCTCTTGTCACCTTCACTTTTGGAAGGTGTAGATGAAGTAAAGCTCTGAGGTGAGAATCAGGTTGCACTGCGATTGTCATAGGTTACTGACGCCGCATTCGGTTGATTGCTAACAAGCCTCTTAAGTGGTCCCTGAAATTTTCGGTGGAGTTCCCACTTTGATAGCAAAACTTTTCCCAACGAGAAACGCTTCATCAATGTATGCGAACATGTCGAAATGTTCGTGAAAAACAAGTAAAAGTAAAAACTTCTAAAAAGGTGCAATTTCGTCCGCAGTGCAGAATTGCGCTAAGGGTTCCCAAGTGTAGCTTGAGAGCGAAAGCTTATTTCCTCAAAGCACCTCTCTTACCGTCTTATTTGAACTTTCAAAGTTGCTGAAATCTAAGTAAAAACTCCAAATTTATTGAAATACTTTCAGGAATTACAAAAACTTTATTTTTTGACCTTTTCTAAACCTTATTTGTAAGACTCTGTTAAAGAAAAGAACTGTGACGTCGGTCTTCCACACTCTAGCTGTTACAGATGTTATATTCATAAGCTATTCCCTTGCAAGCTTTGACATTCACTGGCTTCAAACTTGGAGTGCACCCATACGCGCATAGCAGTGGCGGTCCCAGGATTTCGGACTGGGGGACGGGACAAAAATTTTTTCCAAGAAATGAATTTTTTGGGATGCTTCTCAAGGCCCAACCCCTGAAATCTAGAAACCCTCGGTCCGCCACTGGCGTATAGGCAATGTCACCCCGCATTGGCGGCACACTGGCTGAGGTCGCATGCAACGAAAAAGATACTCGAGGGCGGAAGCTGATTTGCAGCTAGAATTGTAAGTTGCACAGTTGATGGACTTGACGGAAGGTCAGGCTCAATATTTTGAGATCATTCAAGTGAAGCGAGCGTCGTGTGCTTTGATAACTTTAGTAAACTTTACAACTTTTCAGTAGATATTACTGGAGTATATGACACTCGCTCCGAGTTTCATACATGCTTCCAGCGATTAGAGTGCATATCTCACAACCGTCCGAAGCAATAAATCTTCATGAAATTTTCACGAAGCAATTGTACTGTGTGTATTTTTTGAGTTTTTTTTTTATAATTATCACCATTTTTGCTTTAAGAAACATAAGCATCACTCACGATAATCAAAAAATTACTCAAATGTGTATTGCTACCGGACTCGCATAGAATTGAACAGTATTGTAGGATTATTTGTTTATTTATTTGATACACTATGTTGTCAGACATGGAACAGCTATATATATTAGGTCGTCCCAAAAGTATTTTCGCTTTTTTTGAACAAGCGCCACAGTGCGCAGAACTAAGGTATCAGGAGCTCTTGGTAGCATTTGATGCAGTTTTTCATGCTCTTTCTGAAGGTCATCTCTATAAAGCTGATGCAACGAGCTCTCAGAAAATTGGTACAAACTGCAACTCATGCTTTGTACCAAGGTCAGGTTCAGCTATTTTTCTAAATTCTTGTACTGATTTCCCGAAAAAGTCCAAGTGACCTGTCGATAGAGCAAACAAAGTAGGATGCAATACAATTTTCGTTCGTTCCATAGCTTACTTTGAAAATTTTTCAAAATTAGTTTATAAAATTAGTTTATACTGGTCCCCCGAAGAAGTCCAAGTAAACAGCGAATATAGCAAAGAAAGTAGGATACAAAACAGTTTCAACCTCCTTTCCAGGGCTCCCCATAACTTTTTGACAGAATTTTGAACAACACCGTCGAATTTTAGAAGTTCCATACCAAACGCAGACTCGTCAAACTTCACTAAACTCTCGATCTTCGATACTTTTAAAGTGGATTAGGATTTAGCATTAATTTTACGAAACAAGTGAGCGTTCCGGGGTTCGAAATATTCAATTTCTAATTTGTCGCGTACAGCCTGGGGTTTCTTGAAAAGCATGAATTTTGTCGATTTTATCCTCCAAGACTTCTCGAATCAGGGACTAAAAACATGTCTAAGAAAGCGGAGAAAGTGCTGCGTCGAATAACACCCGAGTTGCTCGCCGGCTGTTGTTCTATGAGGTTTAAGTTGACCAAATATGGAATTTGATAGCATCGAAAGACTAATTTTAAAAAATTTTCAAAGTAAGCTATGGAACGAACGAAAATTGTATTGCATCCTACTTTGTTTGCTCTATCGACAGGTCACTTGGACTTCTTCGGGAAATCAGTACAAGAATTTAGAAAAATAGCTGAACCTCCTTGGTACAAAGCATGAGTTGCAGTTTGTACCAATTTTCTGAGAGCTCGTTGCATCAGCTTTATAGAGATGACCTTCAGAAAGAGCATGAAAAACTGCATCAAATGCTACCAAGAGCTCCTGTATACCTTAGTTCTGCGGACTGTGGCGCTTGTTCAAAAAAAGCGAAAATACTTTTGGGACGACCTAATACATTGTTTGAAGTAATGTATGGCGCAATTTGTGAGAGTCTTGAACAAAAAATTAGGAAAAATTCATACCTACGTTAAAAAAATCCTACGGATCTTTAAAATGCTCAAGCAGATTGCACAGCACATCAGACACTCATATGTTCCGTTGCTGTAATTCTTTTTCATCTAGAAATCGAAAAAACGAAAGTTCTTGTGCTTGTACAAAAACGAAGCTACGCTGTTCCCCACTCATGTAATTGTATAGTACAAGCTCTTAAAAGCATGACCGTAATGCTCAGCTTTCAGCTCTCTACAGGCCCTAGTTCACAAATTTGCCCAATTGAAATCTCATCACTCGGGTGTTCCATGCTAAAATCAATGTTTTCGTCAACTAGTTCTTGCAGAAAGTTAAAAATTTACGGTCTTCTAAGAGCTTGTACTATACAATTGGTGGGTGGAAAAGCACAGCTTCGTTTTTATATAAGCATGAAAATTTTTGTTTTCCCAATTTCTAGATGAGGAATAAGTACA